CGACTAACAAATAATTAAAACATATATTGCCACGTGCAGTTTCATGAAACAAGAGAAGTTGGGACATTCAGAGGTATCATGTATGTGTTACTGAAATACATAACGATAACCGCCAACACATGTGTGAGGCATTTACACAAGTTATTTTCATGTCAAAAATTGTAAAGAAACTAGAGAAAAATAAAAAATGAAAGATGATAGAAAAAAGATAGAATGACAAAAAAGCAACAAAGAATAATGATAGAATTATAAAGAGACCACCGACTTGAATGCTAAATCGTTAATAATTAGGTTTAAGTATTTGATTTGAGGGTACTTTAATGACTTGAAACCAGTATTAAGAAACTCACCCGAGTTGACTCAGACTTGGCCAAGTAACTCGGCCTCAAGATTCTGCCAAGGCGAGTTCTTTAGGCAAAATATGGTCAGTAAAAAGGTTTTAAAATTTTTATTTTTTTTACTCTAATGAATGATGCAAAAATGTGTTTCATATACTGTTTATGTTTTTTATGATGATTTGTGATTTTTTTATTTATTCTCTATTTTATTTTATTTTTTCCCTTTTTTGGATATTTGTGAACTATTTCAAGCTAGAGATCAATTTTTCCATATTCCCTCTTCTATATATAATTTTCTTTTTGTGTATACTTTTAATGTAGCTTATGATTTCTTTAGCCTTTAAAATATTCCGTTTTTTTTTTTTTTTTTTTTTTTTNTTTTTTTTGTTGAAAAACTTTTTGCAAACTCTTTTTTTTCAATTTTGAACCCTTTTTTGGGCTCATGAACTACTCTGATGTGTCTACTCTGACTCCCCGAATTACTCAGCTCACAAGAGCCAAGTCCCAAGCCCAAGAAAAGTTTTTTTAACATTGATTGAAACAAAATTTATCAATTGAGATACATCATCTAATCTTTTTTGAAAACATAATGAAAATATCCAACAAAGAAAATTTGATTGAAGGATAGGCTGATACAACTAATATCCTACGTAGTAGAATGATAGGTTGAAATGATGTCCAACAAAGCTTTTAGATCAGAAAATTAAGTTAAGCAACAAACAGACCCTAGTAATCTTTGTTAAAGAAAAAGAAAAAAATGGGTTAACTAATAAGTATAAGTAAGAATATACTAGTTTGGTGCTTAATTGACACTTTTACATGGTTTTAGAAGGACAGTCGCAAAAACAAAAAAGGTTCATCAATTATGATATAAATAAAAGAATTACAATCCATCAAATCTAAATTGGAGTAGTCCCATGAACCTCAATGAACTTCTGGTCAAAGCCTAAATTCAACAGGTCAGTTGATGACAGGCAAAGAAATAACCAACGATAGAGATTGGTATGAGAAGAAGGATCCAGATTAACCAAGCATAAAACCTACTCATTAGATGTTACTGAGTATACCAATGGGCAGGTTAAATGAAAAAGCCAATAAACTCACTTGGTGAACCAAAGTAAAAAGGGAAAAAGTCCAAAAAAATGAGATCTGCATAGTCCTAAATCAATAGCTTATTTAATTGCCTGATGGTAGAACTCGAAGGTGTTTTCCATATATTCCTTTCACACACAAGCCACACACATGCACACATGCATGCACGCACATAGGCTTACACACATTCACAAATGATCTGCATGTACCAGTATATGTCTATGTCAGCATGTGTTTACATTTGTATACATATGTAGCGCTTTTTCAGCACGAGACTATTGGACATTGGCAAGATGGTTCTCATTTCCAGCCAGGAAAACACTCTGCTGAAAAAATTGGTGCTAACCATTATCAGTGTTCACCAAAAAGAAAAAAAAAAGAAAAGAAACTAGAAGTAGTAGGGTAGTAATTACCCAAAAAGAAAACAAAATCAGTAGGGTGGTAGCAGTAGCATATGGTGATCTAATTACATAAGATGCATGTGAGCATATGTAGGAAAATGATAATCTACATTTACATGTACCTGAAAACATTTAACTAGAAGTAGTGGAAATAGTATCTAAATTTGAGTATATGAGAGAATTTGCAAACACAGGAACGTGCATGTGTTATCTACGTACCCAAAAATTTAAGAGTGTGTGAAGTTTGATGCCTTTTTTATTGTCTAATGCACTTCTACTACTTCAGAGGGACCAACTTGCACACACCATGATGCAATATAGATTTCACAGGAATATTGAATGTCAGGAAAGAAAATATTACTGAGCTATCAATGATGATCTGGTCATTTAGGTTTATATACCACTTATTTTGCGTGATTGACTATCGGGAAGCTGCTTTTCTTTATTCGCAACTCCACTTTTGTTCATGCCACTGTCCATCCTTGCAAACATAGGACACTCTTTTGCAGCCAGTTTACAGTCTTGCTCATCCCCAACTTTTGATGACTCTGCTGCTTTTTGAGTAGGTCTTGCAAACATGGGTGGATCAGTGGAATGAGAATCCTTAAGGACATTCACACTGCATTCAGAAGGTGTATCTTGTCTCGACAAGTTGCCATTACCTAAATCTTCAAACTGCAAAAATGGTAGCAAGAGATATGTTCTATTGTCCAGTAGTAGCTATAAAGAACTTTGTATTTGTGCATTTGTGCAAGTTAAGGACTATATTATTTTGTTATCCCAAAAACTAACTAAGCACCTCTTGAATTGTAACTTGTTGCATGAAGCGGGCTTGAGAAATGGAACCTTGACGTGCAAAAAACATCCGGTTATCGCGTCTTCTGATCACAGAGTTCATATAGCTACTGCAGTTCTGATAAAGAAAAATATACCAGATGTCAATCTCTTCAGAAGCCAAGCTTCTAATCAAACAAGGACTACAATAAAATATTTTCGAATAAGTGTAACCACTTATAGAAATTTACATAAAACACATAATTAAAGAAATATAAAATAGAAATGGTCCCAAGATCGGATAATTGACTGACACATCTTACATCATACATATGAAGTATGTCATCAATTAAATTATCTAGGTCCATAAATAAAAGTTACTGGTATTACAAGAACATCTCATCAATCTAAATAAGAATTAAAAACACAAAGGATAATCAATTAATGTTCATGAAAGATAAAACAGAATAACCATAAGTGGTAAAACCTTCCTGATTCAAAGTTAAGCAAATAGTTCACTTTAAATTTGGTTTAAAGTTCAAAGCTGACCTAAATTTTGAAACGAATAAGTTTTTGAATTAAAAATATATTTGTGAAGTGCCTACATTTGGGAGAATTTAGGTGTGACACCAATAGGCAATAAGATGAGAGAAAGTAGACTTAAGTCGGCTAGCGTGCAGACACAGTAGTACAACACTTATTCGGATGTGCAAGTTAGTTAGGGTTGAAGCCTAAGAAAATGCAAAGAGTAGGCCCAAAAGGATATGGTTGGAAGTAGGGAGAAAAAATATGGGGACTTAATGGCCTCACTTAAGGTATGACGCAGAATGGTCAATTAGGATTCATGTAGTAGACCCCAATTAGTTGGTAAAAGGCTTTGAGGATGATGATGATTTGTGCAAATATAAGCCCACAAATTCTAACATATGAATTCCATCAAAACCACAGTCTATTAAGAAACAGACTGTGTGCATACCATAAAGAAAAGCCATAATGTGTCTAACTCATACTCAGATCTTAGCCCTTACCAAAAAAAAAAAAACACATATCACATTCAGATTTTATCTTTCTTCTCACATCACCATGTCCAAAGAATCAAATAACACACTCCCAAAAATATTAAAAGATGTTACAATTAAAGAGAAGTGCACCAAAAATTAGAACTAGCTGCAGTTATATGATAATTCAGGTTCAATTTCTCTATTTTGCTTACAACTGCATTACCAATCAAAAGACGAGCAAGAGAGCAGAGAAATGAAAAAACAGATTCACCCAAAAGTAATCATGTTATCCATTAATCCTTCCAAATGCCACTGCAAAAATTTAACTACCCTCCATTTTCATATAAAAAATGGTTATTTAAATCATGAGATTCCAAATTAAATGTTTCTAAATCAAACCCACGGCATATTATTTGGCAACATCTAGAACATGCTATGCGGCCATAAAAAAATGAAGAAGAAAACCCAGTTTGAAAAACAAAAGAAGAAATGCTAAAAGAAGCTAAATTATTAAATTTCCCAATATCCTGCAACTTCACGACGCATAGGATTCAGAGCAAAAAGCGAAACCCACATCATAATTCTATAAATATTCATCACATACCCAAAAAAACCAACTGAACAAAAACCGATATTTCCCCTGAATTTTCTTGCATGAATAAAACTAATTCAAGGAGTTTGATTATGGCCCAAAAAAGAAAAAGAGACTTCTAATTTACCATTGGAAAGACATGATTGGCTGGGAGTTCTTCAGTAGGCAAGAGGTGGCACGCAATTTGGTGCATCCTCCTCCTTGCAATTTGGCTTTCCATCCCTTCACTAAAACTTCACCAAATTTAGAAGAAGAGGATGGGATGAAGGTTAATAGAACTGAGAGCTGGGGGCTTTAGAGTATGGATGATGAA